AGTAATTCAGGAGGAGAGTACTCTTCAGACAAGTACCCAGCCCAGGGTTCGATCGCCGGCCGAAGAACTTCTACACTCCGCCTAGTCGATAGGTAGTAAGCCCAGTTAACAGGGAAAGGTGGGTGTGAGGCCAGTAATCCCTTCGAAATGTTTCGAACACATTAACTCACAGGTGGAGGCAATCCAGTTGACTTATGGATTGGAAAGTCAGAAAGGCGAGAGCTTCCAATGTTAGATTGTAACGTAAAAAGGAAAGAAAACGGGAAGTTAAACATTGGTGTTTACAGGAAATCCACACATTCAAACAGATATTTGGACTTCCGATCATCCCATCCTATGTCAGTGAGAATAGGATTGGTGAAGTGTTTAAATGACAGAGCACAAAAACTAAGTAGTACCAAGAAAAATCTAAGACAGGAAGTGAGACATATAAGAGAAGCCTTGAGACTTAATAATTACCTTGATAAATTAGTCAGGAAATATGTAGGGAAATGTAAAAATAAAAATAAAATAAATAATGATAGTAGCGATAGTGATGGTAATAATAATAATATTAATGACGACATGCATGTCAGATATGTGCAAGACAACACCAACAGTAAGGAATCAAAATCATTAGTAATTCCATACAAGGAAGGAACCTCGGGTACCACCTTACGCAAAATTCTTAACAAGGCAGGATTAAAAGTGACTGGCATTCAAACCACCCACAAACTCAATTAGAAACAAGCTTTGCGGGTTAAAGCAACAATCCTGTGGAGCCTTTAAAACAAAACAATTTAGTTTATCTAATACCCTGTCTGCAATGGTTGTCAGGTCAAATACATAGGGAAAGTAGTAGAACAGGTGCAGTCAGAATAGCGGGGCATAGAAACCTAGCAAAATCTAGATTAGTTGACCCGAATAAGATAAGAAATATAGAGAATAGTTCAGCTATAACACTATATGCAATTACACGCAACCATACAACAAGATGTGCGTCGGTGGTATAGCGGTTAGGGTGCTTGCCGACCATGCACATGGTCCGGCCTTCGATCCCCGGCCGCCAACGCACTCCTTTACCTCGGTGAGGCAGAAATAATGCTGGTAAAGAGGAAAGGTTGGGGATGAGGCTAGCAACCCCATTCTGTAAAAATTAAACACTGCTACAGAAACTTCAAGCCACTAGCTTGGAGCCCTATGTTCCACTGGGAACGTGAAGGAAAAAAAAATACAACAAGATGGATGGGATAAGATGACAGTTTTAAAATCTAATGTAACAGAGTTCGATAACTGACTGAGGCTTTGTTTATCGAATCAACTGCAAATATGTGTACTGGGAATGATTCAACATATGTCCAGCCAGGGATCTGAAAAGTTCTACTACCCCTACGACGATAAATAGGAGAGAAAAGAGAAAGCTATAAAAGTCAAGTTTCGAAGTTGTGTGATTATAACTTATGATATGATTACGAACAATAAATTTTGTTCGAAACGTCATCCAGTAAATAATACTGTTTCACTGTGTAATACATTTAATAAACAAACTAATATGGAAGTAGTAATAATGTCTACTTACATGTGTGAGTGTATTCGAAGAAAAGTTTTGTAGTTTCTTAAGGTAACCCGACTGAAGATCTCCTGAGTTGTGTTTATTCCATTCAAATGATGCCATAACTGAGGGAACAAAATAAGTTAGAAGCTGTGTACACGTCAAAGTGTATTTTGTCAATAAAAGAAGTAATAATAATAATAATAATAATAATTTTTCCTTCACGTTCCCAGTGGAACATAGGGCTCCAAGCTAGTGGCTTGAAGTTTCTGTAGCAGTGTTTAATTTTTACAGGATAGGGTTGCTAGCCTCATCCCCAACCTTTCCTCTTTACCAGCATTATTTCTGGCTCAGTAAGGTAAAAGAGTGCGTTGGCAGCCGGGGATCGAACGCCGGACCATGTGCATGGTCGGCGAGCGTCCTAACCGCTATACCACCGACGCACAATATTCGATAGTGACAATGCAGTTTTAACAAAAACCTGTGACCAATACGCCCATAGAATTTCGAGAAAAAGCACATATTTTTGTTTAAATGTTATTGAAGTCATTGTCCTTTCGGCTAGTTAGTGAGTTAAACAAGTAACAGACTAAAAGTGCACAAAGAAACCGTGAGTAGGTCATAAAAATAAATTAGATTTGTATTATATATATATACGAAACAACAGCATATTCACAAAAATTGAAATATTGATTTGAAAGTTGAACTATAAAGTAAACATATGTGAAACAAACAAACTAACAATAATAATTAAGTGTTGGTTTTTATGGATTCGATTGGTGACAGGTGTGATCAGCAGTTGATATCGGTTAGAGAATTATAGGACAACATGGAATTGTTATTATTCCCATGGGTTCCTAGTGGGACGTAGGGCTTCAACGACACACCTCCATTTCGTTCGATTTTCTACTGTCCTCTTCAGCTGACTGGCCACACGATTGACCATAATTTCTCATCCCTCCCACCTCGCTACACACCCTCCTCCATGCTACCCTCCCGAGGTGATATGATTATAAGCAGTAATAAATTGTGCTCGAAACATTGTCATCAGTAAATATTACTGTATAACAACACTGTGAGACTTTATCAAAAACAAAATTTTACCCATAATGGGATTTTCTTTTGTATAAATAACTTTGGTATTTCCAACTGAATGTCTAAGACTTCAACAATACAACGGGAGACGAAAGCGTATTGTCTGGAGTCCTGACGTCATGGAAGCAGAATTGAATGTTCTGAAAGAAATATCCTTCTAAATTGTGGATATCCACCAAGATTTATCGACAAGAATATCAAATCAAAGGTCCACAGGAACAAAACATCACTTGCTTCAAAGAACACGCTTCACATGAATCTGAATTTCAAGATCTGAAGATTTAGCTTGCGAAATCCTCAAGAGAAGAATTTCAGAGTCTCTGGAGAGCACATTCTTCGCAGCAATGCTTAGAGTAGTGTTCTTCAGTCATCCATTGATCCACAGAAGCCTTAAGTACAAGTTCCCATATCTGGCCAATTCTATGTACATATATCAGTTCACCTGTTGCTGTGGTGCCAGGTGCATTGGTCGTTCGACGTGTATCCTCTCCGAATGTTTTAAGAACACTGCCATGCATGGCTTCAAAAAGGTAGTATTGGCTGCATACGGAGTACGATATTTGGACATCTCGTCAACACTGGTCATTCCATCTCAACAAACGCCTCCTGCTTCAAAGTAATCTATAAAGTGAAGAATAACCTACCAAAAGCAGTACGCTTTCTTCTCCTGGCTGTATTACTGAAGCCTTAGCCATTCACTTGGATAAACCAGGGTTATGCATACAAAACAAAATCATCTAACCACTCCTATTATCACGATAAAAGCTATGTTGACTCCTACTGACTTGATGTTTGTGTGCTTGTTGTTTTCTAACTCCTTACAATATTTGTAATTTTTAGAACTTATACATAATTTCATATTTTGCTTTGTTGCTTTGTGCATCCTAATCACAACCCATTCATTAAACTATTCATCTTATTACGTAACTGCATCCCGCTTATTCAACTTCTCCACTCCCGCTCCTTAGCTACAATTTGATTATTTATCACAATTTTATCCAAAAGCCACCCTACGTATCACATTTTCCGGCAGACAGTTAATCCAGTCTAACGCTACGGACAAGATACCCCTTTTGGCCGCTTACACCTTACAGTGTGTAATACAATTTTTTTAAGGACAAAGTTTACCAGTATCTAATTGGTCTGAACACTTCTTTGTTAAATATATTTACGATTGTACACCTCATGAAAATGAATCGTCGAAAAGGAAAAATTTTCTTCGCTGTTTGTGCCTTCTTCTTCTTATCACAATTTTGAAATGTCTTGACAACAATAACCCTAACTAAATTTTATTCTTATCGGGCAAACCTAATGTACACACACACACACACACAAAATAAGTGTATAGATAATTACGACTGTACGGTCAGCTAATTGAATGAATTCGCCTCCGAAATGAGACTCTTTACTGAACTAAGTGTTTTGTTTTAATTAATTAGTTTTCAGTTATATCAGGGTAAAATATCGTCTTCTATGTGTCTCGTTGTTATTATTACTATTATTATTATGTATTAATTTTTCGCGAAAATAAACGGCTTTTTGATGAATAGTACACGTAGGCAAGTTCCGTAATCCAACTGATTGTACGCGTTCACACATTGTGGTCGCTGTACTTTATCTTTTTATTATAATTTATGCACCTTTCGTGAATTGTAATTCCATTGATCTTACTTAGAAAATCGATAGTATTTAAAAACACTAATATTGTTAATGAGGACTATTCTAGAATATTCTATGTATGTAGACATATGCATAATTTTCAAGTGTTGGATTTGTGGGGATTTCGTTTGATTGGTTGAAGGATTTCGTCATGAGCTGACAACAGTTAGAGAACCATAGGAGAACAAGCTGGGAGTACTGGACAGCTATTTCTTCAGCCTAGTTTAGGTCTCTTCAGCGGTGGGGTTCGAATCCAGGACCTTCTGGTTACAAGGCGAACCAACTCGTAGTCCATTAAGCCACTGGGACCGGATCTAATAGCCAGTCCATAAATTCCAACTTCTGCCAATTCATGACGTGGCGCGACCACTTCATAATGTCTTCTTCGATAGGTAACTGTCCTCACCTTCAACCTGCTGTACCCCATTCACTGGTCCAAGTGGCTAAATAGTCTTCGAGCTCCCCTTGTAGCCAGAAGGTCATGGTTTCGAACCCTGACTGTTGGGTGCCTACTATTGAAGAGTCCCGAACTAGGCTGACGAGACAGCTGGCTATCCAGTACTCCCAGCTTGTTTTCCAGTGATTCTCTAACCGATGTCAGCTCATGATGAAATCCTCCGATCAAAATATATGATTGTAGAACCAGAAGAGGAAATTATCAAAAAAAGGATATTCTTTGCTCAGATATTTTCTAAATGTCTGAATGAATATTTTCGCTATATTGAAGTCTGAAAACGCTTAAAAAACCGGACACTTCTATATTTTTGGAGGCCCCGGCGGGGGGGGGGGTAAATCTAATACCAATAGAAGTAAGAATTACACCAAAAATCACCTTAAAATTAAGGCGCCTCAATATGAAAAAAAATAATCGATTAAACATCTGCTCATTGGAACAAAATGTTAATCTACACAAACTGATAGTAGTCAAGAGTATAGTAAGGCATTAATTATTTAAACAAATGAAATAATCAAATGATGATTGTGATTTCAAATGGCATCAAAAATAAAAACAAAACAACAAAATAAAATAAACGAAAATTGAGCAAAACATGGAAAACGAAAATCTAAAGATAATTAATTCATATAGTTAAATATCTCACTTTGTAAATGCACTCTGTATGTGCGCAGAAATAGGCTGAAGGAGTCTGTACACGTATTGTAAGTTAAGACTCCACTTTTCATCATTAGAAGAAAATAAGCTCGGAAGATAATCATACAACGATTTAGTATCATTAACAGTAACTACATAGGATAAATAGTAAAGAATAGCAATAGTAATCAATGCAAGTTGAATAGTAATTTTTGATGGGCGTAGAAATACACGAAATGCATTTTTTGTCCGTGCACAGAATGAATTTTTGACCAACCCGTTTTCTTTAATTTGATAGTCATCGTCGAGCAGTGAAGCAGAGATATGCGGAAACCAATCAGTAGTGCTGAAATACGGGGATTGCCAGTGAATCCAAAATCGGGTTGGTCAACACACCGTCATTTATCACAAGAGTATATAGCGTCAAGAATAGTGTTTGTGCATAGCATTAGATGATTGGCTTGAATAAGAACTGGAATTTCACTAAAAGAAGGAGATCATAGAGTTTAAGTAGACTTTATATAAATAGACATGAATAAGATCAAATATGTGAATATTGCTCTCAAATAATTAGGTCTCAGTAAACTTTATGCTAACTGTATTACAGTTTTATTACTATAGTACTAATTAAAGGGACAAGGAAACTGTTCAAAAACGTCTGTTAAGTTGTCCACACAAACACTTAAATAAGACCACTACCATTTTTACAGCATAGATGCAATTAGTTCTGTTTCTTATCAACTACCAAGGAGAGGTCAAACGACAAATTGCACCGTCATACTTAAGCTTTATCAGTAATTAATCTACCTCGGGTGAGGACTTGTGATGAATTTCATGGTTTATTTATATTTCATATACTCACTACTCGTAATATTGATTTCTAGAATTGTTAACTGCAATTTCATCAGTTGATGTTTTATGTAAAGGGCTTGGAACAGATGTGCACCTGTTCCAGTTACTACACTTCCTCTATGTAGCACAATAAAGCAAGAGAAGAGAGTAAAGAGCGATAGCAAACGGGAGTGTGAGACAAGAAGAGTAGTAATATGGAAGAAAAACAGAATTTTACTGGATATAACAAATCACAAAGAGTGGATGCACCTGTGCCATCTATTGAGAACAATTTTCAGCCATATCATCAATTGTCACATGTCTTCATTGGTTCCTATCGTCACGAGGACCCCAATCAGCCAAACAGTCTACACCTCCCTACGTTACTAACTTAAACTAACTGTTGTGGATTTCATTGGCTCGTGAAGCCATGTTTTAGTTTGACCATCACTGGCTAACTCTTTTCCAACCTGATCCATCCTATTTCAGCTAACATTGTCTGTTGGTCAAGAAAGGCGATAGCTAGCAATGCATGCCTAACACAGCGAGGAAACAGGCATAAAATGGACCCACACAAAAATAACTTGGAGGATCTGGACTTCGCCGATGATACAAGCCTGATTTCCCACAAACTGGAAGATATGCAAGTGAAAAGCAACACGTTGGCGGAAGAAGCATCCAGAGAAGATAGGACTTCCTTCAGGTGAACATAGAGAAAACAGAGGTGATGAAGATTTCTGACCAACAGCAACAGCAACAACAGACAACAATCAGCATAAATGGGAGAAATCTGAAAGAAGCAACCACCTTTACCTACCTACCTGGAAAACATCGTTCCAACTACAGGCCAACGGAACTGACGAGGATATCAAAGCCAGAATCGGAAAAGCAAGACAAGCTTTCATTACTCTTAAGTCTGTGTGGAGGTCAGCAGCACTCAGCATGAATAGTAAGATCCGAATTCTCAATTCCAATGTGAAGTCAGTGCTACTTTATGGGTCAGAGACTTGGCGCGTCACGAAGAGCATCTCAAACAAACTACAGACCTTCATCAACAGCTGTTTTCACTCAATACAACAGTACTTGACTCCTACTTTTAATATGCTAAAACACGATAATGATATCCTCGACCAATTACTGTCAAAATGTGTGTTTACAAACTTTAGAAGTGAATCCTTATAAACACCACAGATAGCGGAAAATATTATCTTCCAAGGTGTAACAATGATAAAATTCAGTCTTCTCAGAACATTAAGCAGAAATCTTTAAACGTTTGGCATGAAATTCACTCCTATCAAATGTAAGATGACGCTGCCGAACTACATCGATTCCTAACTTACAGATAGGTGATGAAATGGTAGAGTACGTTGACAACTTCACTTGTTTGAGAAGTTGCATCGAGCCCAATTGAATGATTGCTGATGAGATTTCAGCATGGTTACAAAAGTCTCGTGTGGAGTTTGCCAACCTGCATCATTTTGTGGCGTAGACGTGATATCCGACTATCCATCAAAGGATGTGAACTGAACAGATGTTCACTTTGTTCTCCTTCACGGCTGCAACACGTGGACATTGAAAGTGGAAGATATAAAAGGACCAACTGTCTCTGACCCTAGGTTACTGTGTTCTATCTCATGTGTTAAGCGGCATTATATGGTGAGAGATATGAGGTTAGGCGTAGTGTTAGATAAGGAGGACAAGTCAATCGATGGAATACTGAAGTTACATCGATTGCGGTTGCTATGACACGTGTTGCGCATGACAAGACATTGCCCTTTTCCAAGAACAGCGTTATTTGACATAGGATTACTTTAGAGAAGAGTTAAGAGTGGGCAAAACAAAGCCTAGTATCAAACCATAAAGTCATTGACAGCTGATTTGAGCCATGTAGGGAGGTGTAAACTGCCTGGTTGGGGTCATCGGGACGCTAAGAAACAATGGTTGCAGACTATTAGAGATATGGCTGGGAATTCTTCTCAGTGGCACATTTCGGTTCATCATAGTTCTCTTAAATCTCTTTTCTCTCTCCCTCTTTAGTCTACTTTTATGTACAACATAGAGTATGGCAAATTAAACTGCTGCACTTCTGTGCTAAGTTGTATGTTGAAGATCAATCAGTTCATAGATAGAATTTCCATTATTCTACGATCATAACTGAAGCAGTTAATCCTGCTCCCGGGTTATTCCCAAAAATACATTGTTGACCAGTTGCAAGAGAAAGCTGGGTGAAATCAAAGGACGCGTTGACGTCGTCTTCATAGACTTCAGCAAAGCCTTTGATAAAGTACCTCACAAAAGACTACTCATGAAGTTGGAAAGTCTTGGCATCAAAGGCAGATTACGAAACTGGCTCAGGGAATTCCTCATAGATAAGAGGCAAAGGGTTAGGATCAACTCGAACCTCTCCTATTTACTCTGTATATCAATGAGTTATCTCTGCTTACCGACTCCCCTATGATCCTATACGCAGATGACTTAAAAATTTGGAGAGATCTGAAGGGCAACAGTGATACGTCCACGTTGCAAGAGGACCTCAACAAATTGTTAGAGTGGTCCATAGAATGGATGCTCCCGATAAATGTAGCTAAATGTGCAACCATGCGCATTAGACAAGCAATCACGAGCTCCTACGAACTAGAGGGAATAACACTTCCATCAGTTCAGACTCACTAGGTGTCATAGTTAGCCACGACTTAAAAACTAACGCACACTGTCGCGCGGTGGCTGCACGTGGTTTCAGGTCCTTATGGGCTATTAACGGAGCCTTTATTAGAATTACCAGAGATATGTTCACCTCCTCACATCTCTGGTGAGGTCAAGATTGGAAAACTGAATCTAGGCCGCCAGTCCTTGTCTAAAAGGGGATTCACACATTCTAGAAAGGGTACAAAGCAAGGCAACACGTATGGTTCACGGCATAGCTAACTTATCATACGAGGAAAGACCAGATAGTTTAAACCTCTTCTCCCTGTCATACCGTAGGCAGAGAGGAGATTTAATCACAATGTTTAAAATTTTAAATAATGACTACGAACCTGACCTATTCTCTCTTTTCCTTCCCACCAGGTAGGAACACCTTAGTGGAGATAGCAGTAGAGTTCAAAAGCCAAGGCGAAACCATATTGCTGTGGAATACTGGTTCTCACATCGAGTTATAAACTCCTGGAAACGACTCTCAGAAGAAGTGGTGTCTGCAACCTCAACTGATTCATTCAAGAAGGGTTTGGACAACCACAGAAATTTTCTAGAAAAGGATTAACATAGGCTTCATGCCTCCTATCCTCAACCAATAAATCTGAATCTTGAACCCAATTACATGTGATTAAATGCTGAAAACTTATTCTACTTATATTTCATTTATTCCCTTTACACGACATTTTTTAATAAATAGATTCCATACACGTCACTGTTAACTCAGTAATTAATGTATGTGCTAGAGATGTAAAAGTATCTTTGAAAAACTTATACTTATTTTCGCACCAAAATTGAAACCATAAGCCGATTTTTACTTTTTGATTTAAAATAAGAGGTTGATTTTAACAGAGAAATGATTAGAATATAAATGGATTGTGAGTAATATGAAAACTCATCAACTCTTCCAAAGTGATAATTTTAATAACTGATGCTGATATGGTGCACATACTTACTTCTGGTCATGAGAAAATGTTTTTAGTGTCTTGGTAAACTCCTTACACGACTGAATGAACACAAACTTCAAGTGAATCAATGTTTTAAGTCTTGAGCGGTGGTTACACTGAGAAGACAAGGATTCCAAAAAGTGTTCTGTAGTCTTTGCAATCTCTCTGGAAATAATTAAGGAATATATCTTACCTTATTAGGGAGGTAAAACAATCACTACTACAAATTTCATCCGGTATCTTACTCAAATGTAACCTTAAAAGATTTGCCGAAGCTTCTATTTCGCCAAAAGCTGCATTCTGCTTTTCAAGATCTGTAGATCTTAGATAATTCGGAAGATGAACTGACAGTGAGTGGGTAAGCTAGCAATCTTCAAATATGTTTCCGGCATATCAACTGAAATATCGACGCCAAGACGCTCTAATAAGCGCAATATGAACTGTTCGCTAAAACCGGGATATTCATTTTCTACCTGAAGATCCACTGGTTCATAATCCCATGAACCAGTAAGAAATTATTTGGTAACTTCTTGTTACCTTAATAAATGCCAGTCTAAGAGCATGAGTTAGAGATATGTTGCATTGAGATAACTGCAACCATAATTTCTATAAAATTGGCAAACCTTTGAAAACGTGGGATCATATATGCATGGTCCGGCTAAGTTATACAAACAACCATTCGAACTACAAGGTGCACACATTGAAATGTGGTTAAAATCGTACGCAATTGTCAAGGTTAGGCAACATTTCTGTGCTTTAAATAAATAAATGTATCATTCAATCTTCATTTGTTTCTGTTTATCCGCTCTTTAGAGCCAAAAGTCTTCCTCCGATAGATTACCAATGCATAAAACATATTCAGAGTTGTATATTTTATGGGGACAACAGAATATATATGTTTGCAAATCATACTGAAGTTGGCATCAGGGTATGTTTAACTTTCCTGACGTACTGCTAGCCATCCCCCCCCCAGTGTTTTACTTTCACTGTATTCTTTAACTTAAGTGGCAACTAATTAGTCATTCCTTCCAACACACAGAAGCACCCCTTATGGAGAATAAATCCATTCCAAGCTCCCTTCGGTTTTAGTATAAAAACCCCAATCCATAAGAGAGTCTTCTGCATTAAGACCTCTAGATGTGGGCAGTGATGAAAGGGATTCACATTAACCAGTAAGCTCTGTCTTGGCAGCTGAGTCGTTTGTAGATTTTTGTGATCAAACTTTATCCATAATGAAAACAAATTCACTTTCTAATCACTTTGCAGTAAGATACGGACATTTTGGTTGTTTAGCCTGAACTTGATTGACGGTCCCTTTATATGAGATATTTGAAGAATCGGTTAAATGTTGGGCATATAAGTCTGCCCTTCTAAAGTCACCTTAATCTGCGGGGTTCATTTCGTTCATTTCGCAATGAATATGAGTGCTACCATTAGCCTCGGTACAACAGCTGGAACATAGATAAACAGCCGAAACATAAAATTCACCACTTTAAGCCCAAAGAACACTCTAGAGACTAATTTGTTCTTAGCCATATCTACATTATCAAGACACCAAGAAAGTCCTCAAATACATACTTCATGCTCGATAATGAATCTTTAGGGCCAGAGGGTGTTGAATTTCACGGACAGTAATATATACACTAACGCAATATCTGAAACCCACAACCTCTGTAGTGTTCGTTACGTGTAGACCTAAGGCAAAAAGAACACCGAAATGGTCGTCCGAAGTATGAAGTATATATTTCGGGATTCAGTCGTAGTGCGGAAATGACTGCCTAACTAACTATGGATCGTGCACTGATGAACGAAGATAACATGACGGTGTGTCAAATGGCGTGGATGCTTGGCTGTCAGCCTCTGGCTAAGCAAATCGACTTAAACAGTGAGGGCCAGCATCCAGTGTTCGGTGATGAATGCTTTGGCCAATAATTATGGACAATTATCTACCGCTTTAGTCTCATCGACGTCCATAGTTTCATCTGACGCTTTCATTTTCGCTTCTGAATGTATCTGAAGCCTTTCTTTCCATCTGATAGTCATCACTTTTATTCGTAAACGTTACAGTGTGTCTGTTCAGGTAGTCTTTTTCATTACTGTTTTATGACCACAAGATTAAGTGCAAATCTTTTACCCCTAAGTCTCTCCTTTACCTTCACTCGAAATCTTGCAAAATGTCTGGAACGTTTTGGAATCGGAAGTGCTATGTGATTAGGTGGTAAACAGCTTTACACACTGAAATTTATGTCGATAACCGGGTGGTTATATTTCATCTGTCATGTCAAAAATTACAGATCGTCTACGCAACATTAGTATCGCGTCTTAACACAGATGCGCACTTTTGGCCGACAAACTTCACTTGCAGTGAGGCAACAGTGAGCACAAGATATTGGAGAAAACCCTGGGAGTGCCACTATTACACTCTCCCACGGCTAAAGTTGTTTAGGCTCTGCCTGAAGTCACTAAAGTTTCTGCAGTGAGCCAAACACTTTGCATTATATGTTGAGACGTGTGTAAACTACCTATTAGTGTTCGTGCCGACATACGTCGAATGAAAAAAGAGCCTCCTGTGATCGTCTGTTGAAAATAATGCGGGTAACTAACTACTGAAAGGCGTATAGGACATCATCAATACAATGTTTCCAGAAGCAGGGCAGACGTTTTAAAATCACTCAAGACAAATGAAGCACAAGTTAGTCCTAAGCTACCACGATCAAACTGTTCGAATCCAACTCGCTCTATAAAAAAAGTGATGGGGAAACTGTGATTTTCATTATTTTTCCTTCTTTCGTTGCTGTTGCTCTTGTTAATTTTGGGAAATTTATTTCACAGTACTTAATTTGTTATATTCCCATATTCTTACTTTTGACGAGTGTATTTTGCCTGCATTCAATCTTTTATCGTTTGAATCACTGAAAATCTTCAAAATTAAAAATTCTTATGTAAAAATTTAATTATTTTACAAGTTATTTCATTTTTAAATAAAGTTAAACTTCTATCACTGATTTTAGAATATTCCTGTAAATTACACTTGCGAACTAACACGGTTACCTAAGCATACAGCTGTCTTTCTTCAATTCTTTGTAAAATCAGTCACGTAGTCTAAGTAGTTGTCATCTAAATGTTTCATTAAAATATGTGAGAGTTTCGTAAACTTACGCTGTAACGACTGTAGATTATATGCATTTAACAAAAGCAGCGAAATATAAAGATATCACAGTGTCCCTTCGTTTCAGTGTTTCTGCTTCGTTCAAGCTCATTGAAGGGAATAATTGAAAAGAGTTCTTGTATCCATTAAGATGCTAAGTTAATTGGGAGTTTTCGACCACGTTGCTTTGTTGAGCGATTTATTCTTGTCCGCTACTTTGACATCTCAGCGCGTGCTGAAAGCCATTTAATTACGTTCTTTGCTTTTTCGCCTCACAGAGCAAAGGGCTTCACGAATATTATGTAGGTACTTGCTTTGTATTCAACTGACAGTTCAGTGAAGCTAGTATCTAGGTGTAGGAGTACAATGAAGACCTTGAATTATTCACCACATTTTGGAGATCCGAAAGTGAAAGTGGTGGAAGACAGCATTTATTATTGATAAAATGTCATAATTTTTAAATGAATGAACGAATAGCTATCCCATAACGCGGTGGTAAAGGTAAGATAGAGTGTCAATGTAGTTGAAGATTGAACGATCAATTCATGGTTGTTTGCTCAAAACCAACTTCCCCAATTTTCGCGGAGGCATCAATACACCAGTCATCGTCTCATCGGTCACTGTTCAGAAAGAAGTCAGGACAAAACCGTCAGAAACCTTATTTTTAAAGCTTAGTTCTAAAGTTGGCTATATGTTGGTGTTACAATAAAGAATTCTCGAGTGGCCAATCGGTGTTTTGGTTTTTGCGTCGTTATTACTAAGCGTTTCTGAGAAACTTCAAGGAACAGCGTGAGTCCCAGCGTAGCAAGAGCTGGGCATTGACGGTTTACGAGACGTGGCTGACATAGAGTATTTGCTACCCCGCACTTTTTAGTGGCACAACTAAACTGGTAAACAGCATAAGGTGATATGCGGCTTGTGCTCAGTTACAGACAGTCTGATTTCACTACCAGTTGCAAGAGACATGAAATAATGAGGGCACTGCACGGTTAAATTGCCTTTGATAAACTGAGGCGTATTGTCGTCCAGACACCATGCGAATTTGAGTGTTTCGGGTAGGAACATAATTCCCATCTCAAATTCCAGTATTTCATGTAGTTTCGATTGAATACAATCATTGTTTGTGAGGCTTTATTTGCACTAAATTTGAACACAAAAGGCAAACCACATTATACCATACTACTTAAATGTTGTGGTCAGCTCGTGATGCTGATGGCTGGGTTTCGGTGTCCAACTTAAAATGAGCCGGGATCCATGTAAATACAGGGAGGGGAACTTAATTTTTAATTAGCCTCCAATTTCGACAGCTAGCTGTTCTTATTGCTTCGATTCGCGGAAGGGACACAACCCGCTACCAGTAAGTGTCATTAAGTTTCATCATTATCACTATCCACAGTCTCACTACCAGGATACACTTGAAATATGAACCGTCATGATGACAAGCATACTCGCCAACATAAATTAGTATCTGGCTTGCTCATTTCGACCAAGTTTCAGAAAGGAAAAAACAAGCAGTGATATACGAGATATTTTCTTATATGAAGAGTAGCTTTCAACCCTCAACAAAAATTCGACCTATAGTTGCAATTTGGTTTCATATAGTAACCGAAGTTATGTGTGATGTTAAGAACTTACTGGAACTTCACTCCATTGTCCCTGACAATGTATGAAGGATGGAAGCTATCAATGTAGTTGAAGATTGAACGATCAATTCATGGTTGTCTACTGAAACCCGAATTCATATTTTACGGCAGCTAGCGTCTCATCGTTCGCTGTTCGTTGGAAGAGAGAAAACTATCAAAAGTATTATGGTGATTTATTGTTGTAACATTCTTAGACTTTGTGTACAATAACTTAATGGTTGGCTCTATGTTGGTGCAAGAATAAACGGTTCCCGAGTCACCAATTTGCGTTCTGGTTTTTTGTGTTAGTTATTACGCATAGTTTCTGAAGGTCTTCCAAGGACAGCGTGAGGTTCAATGTAGTAAGACCTGGACATTGACAGTAGAAGTGGGTACGCCTCCCAACACGATATAACAATATTCTTGACCCGTCATATACTCTAAAACATGGAACAGCCTGCCCCTAGTAGTCAGAACTTTCACCTCAGCCATATGTTTCAAACGCTGTCTGTGCAGACGGTTTCACTCTACTGGTTACGTTACCAAGCCATTTAAATCAAGAACGAATCAGTTATAAGTTTACTACAGTACCTAAAGAACAAGTGAAATTTCCCTAATTGATCTATAAACGATAAATAAACTGGTCGCTTAGATGCATAAAAAGACTGAATATAAATAAATATGTCGATTTACTAGACGGCAATGTACAATCGGCATATACATATACAAGCATTAAGTTCCTGTCCGCGTACACATACTTTTCATTTCCCCCTGGTAATTTACTGCTCTCTCCTTCTCTTCTATTTGTATAACAGTGGAAGCTGAACAATTAGAGTGAAGGACTTGAAGCCACTTACTTTTACATACCATGTCATCTCTCAAGGTTTGACTATTAATAGCTAGACACCCTTAAAAAAATTTACTGCCACCGCTAGAGGACGTTGGATATCATCCTATAAAGGCAGTGTCCTTGATTCAAAATGGTTTACAAATAGC